AACTACATTTTGGAGAATCAACACATTTGCGCCGAAAGAGATAGTAGCTTAGTGACGGTAAATTTGATTTAATACGCATAAATATGATTTCGTCACGTCGTGTAGGGAACTTGAGTGGTTTAGGAAAAACTTGCGTAGATACATATTCCGCTTATAAAGCGTCACGCTTTTTTGATATTTGCATAGTTGAAAAACTTGCATCCTTCCGTAAAAGTTCACATGCAGGTTTTTTTAGAAGCACATTTATATTGTTTTCAATTATTGTCTCCATCCAGATAGAATTCCTTATGCTTTCGCTATTTAAAAAAATCTTTATCGATGCTATTCACCGCCTCAATCACAGACACCTGATTACTAGATAAACTGTACCTAATATTGAATTGACAAGTTTGTAATTGAAGTTTTCGGTGTTTCCACCTTTCGTATAATTTACGTAGTTCTCGTGATTGAAGTTCTAAAACTAAAGTTTAGGTATGGTTTTGTAGAGTATTTCGTGGCGTATCTTTCAAAAACAAACTCTAATCTTAGGATCCTGAAGAAACAAGAGAAAAGCTGTAGAATTATGGAAGTTTCTAGCGGGTGCGTCAATTCTGGGTATATTGATGCTTTCAGTAAAAGTCACATAACTTCATTAGAACAAAAGATTTCCCCATCAGGTTTGTTTTGCTTTGATCAGAAATGATTACTCTTTACTACCTAACTGCAAAATCAAAACTTTGATCGTGTTTTCCATCTTTGCTTAGGAACATTGTTGAAAATGAGGAGAAATTTTTGAAACTTCGTTTTCCATCACACTATCTGCTTTAAAAAATTTTTACAAACCACGAGAAAGAGCAGATTCAAAAGTACAAAAAGAACAGAGTGCTCACTTTTGCTACACTTTTTACGGAAATGATAGCAGAAGAAAACAGTTCAAGGAAAAAAAAATACCAAAAATACAAAGTTTTCGGTGTTTCCACCTTTCGTATAATTTATGTAGTTCTCTTGACTGAGGTTCTAAAACTAAAGTTTAGGTATGGTTTTGTAGAGTATTTCGTGGCGGATCTTTCAAAAACAAACTCTAATCTTAGGGTCCTAAAGAAACAAGAGAAAAATAGAAAATACTAAAGGCTCATTCATTATGACGCATCAGCCAGAAACTTCCATAATTCTATAGCTCATAATCCACCTATAGATTACCAGTTTCACTCGATAATCCCGATTTCGATGAGCTTTCATTTCGTATATAAATCACTTTTATATCATTTGTCGTTGGAGCTGCAGCCCTCTAGCAAAAGGTAATGCACAACCCTGTACACATTATAGATTAATCAAAATGTGTCATAAGTATAACGGTTTGATTACATTTCCGAAAACTTTCTCTCAGTATTGCTATACACTTACGAAACATAATGTTGATCGCAATCTAGTCAGGGGAAAGAATTAAGGACCCAGCGGATGGTGATAAGCGTGGGACGTAGTTACGGAAGCCGATCAGGAATTGGGCGCTTTATTGTATTCACTCACATTGGAAAGGTTTTAAAATTGTTATATGAACAGATATACCATTTTCGATTTGTGTATGTCATTTGATAGAACTCGTCGTGCTGAATCCGAATATATGTCTCTTAGTCCCCGAATATTTTTTTTTTCAGCGTCAAAACTTGAAAAATTTAAAAGAGCGCCTTATTTTCGAAAATTAGTCAGTATCTGTGGAGCATTAAGTGAGGAAGCTTAATCGTTAATCTACGTCAAAAACGGATTTAGAGAAAGTGTGTTTGAATAAAATTCAAATTACTTTTGCCTTGCACAATTTGAAGTTCACTTATTAGGATAAAAAACATTTTCTCATCGCGCCAAATGCTTAAACTCTTTTTAAAAAAAATGGAGCCAATATTTTTGCATTGTGGTAATCATCAGATGGGCAAGGAAAAAATTAAGTGTCCTTTTTACAAAATCCGCTCAACTGTTGACTAGCTTTTTGATAATGAGATACGAGAACATAATTTAAACGTTAGTAATTTGATTCCTGCAACTTCTAGACTAGAAGTGGAAACAGCAAAGCATTTGCACTATCATTAATATCTGGAAGTTCTAGATATTAATGATAGTGCAAATGCATCCCATGTTCTTTCTGGTTCTCTTCTTGATTTATCTTCGTCTTTCTGTATTAATTATCATCTACCTCAATCAATTACAACAAATTCAACATCACCAGATCTTATTGCTTTTGATTCTCCGCCACCACCATCTCGAACACTAACAACTTTTCCTCAATCAAATGGTCTAGCAAGTAATGTACTTAATTTAAATGGTAACACTTCTACAATTCTACAAGGTCAAACAAGTTTTATTAATTCATTAGAAGCTACGAATATTTTTGATGAAGTTCTGGCATGTTCATCTCAACATACCAATTTAGTTTCGATTTCAGCTTCGCATTCACAATTCTCCCCTTCAATCTTAACGAATTTCAAAGAGTACCTATGGCAATTCCGCGAGGATTTTCCAGTTTAGAGAAAATCGAATTTCCAACAATCTAGAAAATCGTTGTTAAAATTTCATAAATAATTTCC